AAACTCCTACACAAGTCACTAAAAACACTAAATTTAAACACCCAAAAAGCTTATCAAGTAAAATAAACAGTTTCAACAACTCCAAAGTGGAAAAAGAACCAAATGATCAACTAAAAATTGAATCTTTTTTCTTTGGTTTGGGGGTCGATAAAAAGAGTCAAAGAAACCAAATACAGAAGAATTTGCTTTAAAACTTTGTATAATAGTAATCCGTACATGCAGACGTGATTAAAAATTAATTAAATTTTGCAGAGAAAAGGGAATCTATAATTTTTGATAAAATAAAAAGAACACGGAGAGGAAAGATCGGCGTGGAATCTGAAGAAACATATGAGCGCCGAAACTATATTTATTTTTTATTTTTATTAATAAAGCAAATGTCGGAACTCGATTCCATGTTGCTCAGCTATATGTATTTTTATTTTCCTTTCACATTCATGTTAGAGTCCAATTAAATTTGGATAATGTCAAAAAATTCTATATTGGACTGAAGTATCCCTACAAAAGACAACTTCACATTCAATTCTATATTGGACTAAAGCGTCCTAAACAAAAGATGATTTCGTATTCAAGATACTCAATTTCAAGATCCTAAAATAAATGAAGAAAGAAGAAATATTTATAACTCCGCCACAAAATATTAGGTAACTAAATGAATTTATTACTCAACAGTGGTAGTCGGTGATGGGAATTTTGGGAGGTGTGGGCCCGATGGGAGCGAATGGAGAAGTGACACGTAGGTGACAGCGTGGAATATTCGGCGAAGAATGAGGAAAAGAGAATATTAGTACAATCACGTGCCACGTACTCCCAAATACTACTAACCAATAGTTGGTGATAGTCCTCTAGACGTGGAAATAATAGGGATTTTAATAAATTTTTATCAGGGTGGACATTCAGTTCTTCGGTTAAATTTTTTCAATTTTCAATTTTAAAAATGTGTGCAGCGAATACCAAATCAAACTAATTCAATGTGGTTGGATTCCATTTTTTAACTTCGGACAGTTTAATTTGGTGTTTTACAATGATTTTTCGACATAGATGAAAAATAAAATGAGAAAAAAATCGAAGTATAAGATACAAAAAAAATTAAAATCATGCAAAGTGATGATGTGTCTCACCATAGAATACTTAATTGTACTTAAAAGACCATATTTGTTTTGTCAAGTCAAGACAAGAACATTGTGCATTCAACTACTGCTCGAGGAAAACAAGGATAAGACGATTTCCTTTACATAATGTATGTCGACAAAAACCCGTTTGAATTCCTTCTTGGAAATTAATAGCTGAAGTTAGCAATCTAAATTATAAATATGTTGCTACTTTAATTTGTTCATGAATGATTTATTTACTAGTTGACTTTTGTTTTTCTAGTTAAGAAAATGTCCATATATATATTATTTTTATTTTTGTTATGAATTCACCTGAATTTAGTAACCTTAGTTTACTAACAAATGAAATGTTGATAAATATTTATCGTAAACTCAATTATTGTTATTATATATTGATTTAAAGTCATCGTACAAATTTGTAGACTTAGAATTCTAAATTCATCTTTCGTAAAAAAAAAATTCCGATATTCTCATTTTCAAAGTCATTTGGTGTAGTTTCGTAGTAGGATTTACCCTTAATAAAACTATATTACATTAAATCATATATATATAAAAGAGAACTTTACGCCCGCCTACGTGGCGCCACCACAAACAAGAATTCACTTTTAATTTATTTATTTCCAAAACTAGCTTTCCTTTTTCATGAAAAATTGTGACATTTATGAAAAGTTGCGACTTTTATGAAGAGTTGCGACTTTTATGAAGAGTTGCGACTTTTATGAAAACTTGTGCCTTTTATGAAAAGTTGTGACTTTTATGAAGAGTTGCGACTTTAATGAAGAGTTGTGACCTTTTCGAAGGGTTGCAACTTTTCCAAATAGTTATAACATTTCCGATAAGGCACAATAAACAGTTGTTCACACTACCCTTTGTTGTCTATAAATAGAGGGATTTCCTCTCATTTAAAAACAACGAAAATTCTGAACCTACTCTTCTTCTTCTTCTTCTTCTTCTTCTTCACAATTAAATATTTGTGTACAGATCCTAGTATGTATTTTTACAGTCATTAATTTATGCTTATGTTATTAAGGATAAATGATAAGATGTAATAATTTTTATTTTCCTTTACAGTATTAATGTTTGTTACTACATAATCTTGTATGTAAGACAATATAGTGTTTTAATTTTAATGACGGGTAGGTTTTAAGTATTATTTTATAAATTCCGTGATATTAAATTCCCACACGAAAGTGCGGGTAATTTTACTAGTGTTAAAAATAAAAAGAAACCACGTACGTTTATTCAACAACCTATACTCTATTGTATTTAATTAATAATCAGATCATCTTTAAATGAGTCCGAAATCAAAAGGGCAACAAACTTTTTCGAAAATTCTAAAAGGGCAACTCAATTAATTATGAAACCAAAAGGGTAACAATTTTTAACACCATTTAAAGTAGGTTTTTTAAAACGAGGCTCAAATTTCAATGAGCCTTACAAGGCTCAAATTCCAATGAGCCTTGTAAGGCTCAGCCGCCAATGAGCCTTGCAGGGTTTTTTTAAAAAAATATTCTCATTTTATTTTCTTGTTTGTTAAAAGTCTAATAATAATAATAATAATAATACATAGTTGTTGATATGATGCATAAAGATAGTTTAGACCTTATTGCTAGCCATTACTTTGTGGCTTTTCAAACGAACTAAATCCAATAGTTTAGACCTTATTTACTACTTAGTTGATATTTTTTTTCTTCAACTTTTTTTATGTGAAATTATAATTTGGTTTATTCACTTGCAGAATGATAAAATTCAGCCTTCTTTAGTCATACTTTATTTTGAAGTTTTCGAACTCCAACATATATGCACGGTTCATGTTTACTATAAATTGTTTAAAGAGTATATTGTATTTTTACCTTGCTATGAAGTATAATTTTTCTCATGTTTTCAACATATTCATCAATAGGGCATTTCCACCAAAATAAAGTATGACTAAAGAAGGCTGAATTTTATTATTCTGCAAGTGAATAAACCAAATTATAATTTCACATAAAAAAAAGTTGAAGAGAAAAAATATCAACTAAGTAGTAAATAAGGTCTAAACTATTGGACTTAGTTCGTTTGAAAAGCCACAAAGTAATGGCTAGCAATAAGGTCTAAACTATCTTTATACATCATATCAACAACTACGTATTATTATTATTATTATTATTAGACTTTTAACAAACAAGAAAATAAAACGAAAATATTTTTATATAAAAAAAAACCCTGCAAGGCTCATTGGCGGCTGAGCCTTACAAGGCTCATTGAAATTTGAGCCTCGTTTTAAAAAATCTAATTTAAACAGTGTTAAAAATTGTTACCCTTTTGATTTCATAATTAATTGAGTTGCCCTTTTGAAATTTTCAAAAAAGTTTGTTGCCCTTTTGATTTCAGACTCATCTTTAAATCTACCTACTCCACGTTAGATTTCTCTATTTACATATAAATATAAATTTGTCTTATGTATCTTTTGGCTTTTTATGAGTTAAAGGCTAAGAAACAAACACAATTACATATTCTCTTTTGTATAAATTTCAGCCAGCTTGCCCATGTTCTCCCTAAAAACAAATTGTACTAGTTCTCTTTTTTCTTTTTAATAATTGTGATATTTGAGCTAGTTTTTTTTTTTCACCTCAACTAATTCTACTGAATACTAATTTTTAGTGAATGTAAGATTTATTGGAACTTCTGAAATGAGAAAAAATGTGTGCAGTCTATAATCATGATTTAAAAATAATACTTCATTCATTTCAATATAAGTGTCACTTCAATAGAAAAACGTTTGATAGTGTCGCTTTAATGATTCAAGATAAAAATAGTAGTAATTGTTTTGAATTCTCAAAAAATACCTAATAAATAGGGTTAACTTAGTAAACTACACCTGACATTTATTATTTTTCTTGGTAAACATGAATGAGCTAAAGCAATACTTATTTTGGGACGGGGGAGATTGAATGTCAACACCTTTTTCAAGAAGAATGGAGTATCTAATTCTATGAAAAGTAAATTTTTATCAAACAATAGATATTAGAGTAGCATACTGTTCTCTTTATTTTACTCTATAAAGAATCTCAATATTATTATCTTTCTATGGAAGAACAAAAATGCAAAGCTCAGAAATCAGACTGAAAATGGCACTTTTAATAAGAATATTGCAGCTAAAAGAGAAGGGAACAGGAACAAAAGGGGAAGGATGACAGAAGAATATTCTTGCAAGAAAAAAATACACAAGACAACTAGAAGAAAATGCCTTGTTAGAATATTATTGACAGCAATGAGACCAATTACAATGTTTCTTTGACCTGAATAGGAATGCGAGAATTCATGGTTCTTAACCTACTTTATTGACCACCCGACCTTTACCCTTTGATCTTCCCATATCCTTTATTGCTACTAGTACCTTCTCTCTCTTTCTTTTTACTGCATTGATCACATCAGTGTCATCCAAATAGGATTTTTATCTATGTTACAAAGACAGTCTAACACACGAAGCATCCCGAGTTCCTATAGAGTGCAGGAATAGGATTTTTATCTATGCTATGAAGACTAAATCCAGGTAATCTAAAGATGACATTTGTATGACTTACAGCAAAAAGCACTATGCAGGCTCAAAATAACACCTTTTTTACTTGCTAACAAATGTTGAACTATTTGAGGGGGAAAGCATGTATAGCACAAACTGAACACAAACAGAGAATGATGGAGAAAACATGAAGGAAGAATAAATTAACTTGAATGTACATTTCAAACGAGACAGTACATGATTCATCGCAACCGTTTTTTTACATGATACAGGACCCCGAAAGAGGAAAATGGAGATGGGGCGAGGCAGAAATTGGCAAACGGAACCAAGATACAAGAGGACAGTATCACATGAGATCATATTCTATATCGATCACAGAATGAACTCTCACAGTTTCATAGGGTTCGTGTTATGGCTATCAGTATGCATTTATGCTCAATCTGAACTATAGCTTGCCGGTGGATAACATGCGTCCATCATCTATTCCTCACATAAGCAGCCTTTGAAACCTTTTCTTAGTGCAGTTTCATCTAGGTTTCTGCCTATGAATACTAACTTGTTTATTCTCTTCTCATTTGGTTCCCATGTCTTGCCTGGGCATCCATCTAAAATGGAATGTACCCCCTTTCCAAAAGTTCAAAGAAAGAAAAGCAAGAAAAAGGATCAAAATCAGAATCAAGAATGACCGAGCATCAAGATCAAGAATACCACAAAGACGAAATTGATGAGAACCTGGAAAACATAGCGTTGTTCAGAATCGCTCACAGATAAAACCCCTTTCATCCTGTACAGGTCATCCCCATTCTCTTCAATCAGTCTTTCAAGCCAATCATCAACCTGGATCGCATACCCAGTAAAATGTTGTTCATACAAAATATTAAAAAAATTGGGCAAAACATAGACAAGGAAGTATTTTCAACTATAAAGTGAAAGTAGAGCAAGCCTTGTTAAAATATCAACAAGTGTTGCATTAGGCCAGAGCCGCAGGACTTTAACCTTGCGGTGGCCGGTTAAATTGGTAACTCAACAATAATCAGATAATGATACGAAAAAATAAGAAGCTAACTAGAAAGAAAGAAAGAGCACATACCTCATCTAAATCTAAGGTTCCCTCAGACACAATACTAACACTGGATACAGCAGAATCATGTACATGATCATGATGGTGGCCCTTGTGATGTTCTGCAAACAATGAGGCATGTTATCAAAAACCTGAAGGAGCTTATGTTTATGTTCTGATAAGATGAAAAGTCAGAGCAGTAATAAAAAAGAATCGAACAACTCATGCACATAAAAATCTTTCTTTTAAAAAAAAAAGAAAGGAAAACAGAGAGAGTCGGGGAGACGTTGGAAAGAACAGGGAGAACAAAGAAGAAATGTTACGAAAAGTTAATCACTATTCACTACCATGCCCATCTTCATGTTTGTGCCCACAGTGGGAGCCCTCTGATTGAACTTCAGAATCAACTCTGCAAAGCAAGCATACTTGTAATCTCAGAAACAATAACTCAAAATAGCATTCTGAGCCAAGGAAAGGGAACAGTTTAAGGAAAAGTTCTTTAAGCAGAATCACCTGTCAAGATCATAGCCACCAACTCCCAAAACAAAGTCCATATCAACCACCCCATGCTTTGCTCTCTTTATTTGTGCCATTCCATTGATATGCTGGAAGGTCACGGCAATCAAGACTTTGTATTCAAAAATGGAGTCATAAATATAATCGAAAAAAGGGGAAAATATAACTAGCTACAGGGTCAAGGAGTAGACATTGCATATCCACCAGAAATGGCTATACAGATGTTTACCTAGCTGACAAAACTATTAGAAACAATAAACAGATGCCACATAAATTATTATTTTTAAAAAAAAGTTTGAGGTTGCAGCAGCTCAAAATGCATTACCAAGTCATATTGGAACAAACATAACGGAAGAAATTAAGGCAATACAATAAGAATGCAGTGGGAAGAGCCTAACAAAGAAATTCTTCCTTCACATTAAGTAAATTAGTTCTTAAAACACCATAAGCAAGAGGGCAATTTCCAAGCTTAACAACAACAACAAACCCAGTGTAATCCCACAAGTGGTCTGGGAGGATAGGGTGTACGCAGACCTTACCCCTACCTTGGAAGGTAATTCCAAGCTTAATATCATTGAATCATTCATACATAAACATATTGCAACAATGTAAGTCATGTTTATATTAGAGCAACTACCTGCACTGCGATTGTAGAAGAAAGACAACTAAGACCAAAAAAGAAGAGACTCTACCTTGATTCTCTTTGTTAACACTTCGAGCTCAGATTCTGTAGCCAAGTCTATCTGTCAACATAATCAGAAGAACATAAGCTGACATATAGGCTTCCAAAGATTGGTTAAACCTACAGCAGGCAAGGAAAAGAGTAACCAAGTAAAAGCTAGAAGCTTCCTTACCTTGTTCAAGATAATACGATCTGCATAAGCCACTTGTTCAACAGCCTCATTCGACACAAATCTGGGTTTTACCTTATTTAAATGTTGCAAGGCGTGCTTGCAATCAACCAATGTAACGACTCCATCAAGTTTGACATGTCTTGAAACCAATTCATCAGAACAAAATGTTTCAATAACTGGACCAGGCTTTGCAAGACCTGGAAAACAAGTAGCAACTCAAAGGAGCAGTTAGGAAGATGATTAACACTCACTAAAGATGAGTTATGAATTTCAATTTCTAAAGAAAAACATGCTGCCATGATTTAGTCAGACCAAGATGCATAATTAGTATTTAGTCTGCATTTTACAGGGGCCTCATGATGGGCTAAACTACAGAAACCCACCTTTCGTGGTTCTGTTTTTTCTTTGCCCTGCTTCTCTCCGTGAGGAAGAGGGTCTACAAAGGATTGTTCATTTCGGAAAGCTAGTAAGCAACATTTGGCAAAATTGAAAAACTTTTCTGTCAGGAATGCTAGCGGACATTAACTTTCCCAGACCACTTAGAGTGCTATTGAAGTTATCCATGAAGTTACAACAAACCTAATAAGGCTTCATGCAATACAGTGAAAGACCAGAGGGATAATAGAAATAAACGAAATTGCAGTAGTCATTGCAAATTAAATGAAGTTACATGCTTCCAAGTCCCAGGCATCTGAATTTCATTTGAATCACCATCAGGAACAGACAATATATCAAAACATAAGACCAACACTACATATGCATATGTTTCCCTCTTTTTTCCCACTCTTATCACTGCATCAACATTGTTTGAAGGAGAAGGAAGCAATTCAGTACAAGCTACCAGTTGGATTAATGCAAATCTACTTCTACGTGGATTTGCTTAAGGCACATAAATTTAATCCATCCAAGTCAATAAAAGAGATTAAGAAAGAACCCTCCATTAAAATGCTTTGAGAAAGGTAACATAACCCTCTATTAAAATGTTTTCACATACTTTATAGAAGAACCTTAGCTATTTCTCATAAGATGACCTGCTTATACCAGGCAAAGTTATCTATTTAAGTATTGAAGTGACTTGCAAGTGCTAAACTACATAATCAGATTTTTTCCCCTTTTGATAAGTACTTTGTAATCAGATGTTCTTGAAGTTTTATTAACAAAATTGAGCCCACAAGTACACTTGAGAACATTTGAGAACAAAGTTAATTACATTTTATTAAATAGTTTCACATACCTGTTGTCTCTATAACTATGTGATCAAATTTGTCTCTCCTATTCTTAACGAGTTCCAAAAGCATCTTAACAAGGTCACCACGTACAGTACAGCATAGACAACCATTATTAACCATGAGAATTTCCTCGTTAGATGAAGAATGACTAGCAACCAATGAGCCATCAATGTCCACCTCACCAAACTGCATTGGATCAGCCATAAAAAAATCTGAGTGAATGCAGATAATCCAAAATTTACTAGTCATAACATAATTAAATGCAAAATGGGAAGTCAAAGGGCATGGGCATCCATTAAATGCTAAAAGAACCATCTTAGGTTATAAAAGTTTTAACAATAATAACTGGATAAGACAAGACCCCGGAATACCTCATTTTCAATCACAGCAATCCGCTTTCCATGCTGAGATGTCAGTATATGATTCAACAAAGTAGTCTGCCAGGGTATCCATAAAAGGAAAAGAAAGAGACATTTCTCATAAGTAAACTAATCACGACATCTTCTATATCCAAAGTAATTCAGATATCTCAATTCAACATAGAGATTCACTACGTTCCTGGTAATTATAAGTTCAAAAAGAAACCGGAAAGGAAAAACAGGGTGTGATATTAACAAAACAAATCATTTAGTTCTAATTTTGCGTTGGGCATAATTTCATTAACCTTTGACTTTTCACTTAATGTATTTCATTATCTGAAACTTATAGCAAACATGGGATTGAAGACACATCTGTGGTAACTGGATTACAATGTCTACTCATACATGATAAACTTTTCCAGCATTTGTAGTCAGCAAAGTGCCATAATTTCTTCAAACCATAACACAACAACCACTAGCACAAACAAAGAAAAGGAGGAAAACATTTCCATAACTGACCATTGAATACAATTAGTTTTAAAAGCAAGTTCAGATGAGAATGTGAAAACCTCAAGAGCATGAGAGATTTTACTTCCTGAACCGAAATGAACTACCCTCCTTCGCCAAATTCACAAAATGACGGATTCAGAGCACGAATCAACTTATATAATTCTCGCTGTGAATAAAATTTACATGTTTTGAAAACTATATAAAAACATACTACAAAAGAACCTTTTTAGATAAACTATTTCATTCTAATATTCAATAATTTGCTAAACAATAAACTACGCCCCAATTCCGAGCTACCTGAGCTCAGCTACATGAATCCTCCTCCCTATCCATATTCCTTCATTTAATCTGTTTCATTCTACTATTCAATAACTTAAGTCACCATAACTAAAGTTAAAAAAATGTGAGAAAAATGTAGTCTTGATTCCCCGAACCTTTCCAGAGCCAAGAAAACCAGTAATAACAGTCGCCGGAACCCGACTATCAAGACTCAAAGCGGCTGCAATGGAAGAATCAGAGTCTTGGGCGACGTACTCAGGAGAAGTGGAGAAACTTCTAGAATTAGGTGAATGGCAATGGAATTCTCTAGAAACAAAAGAGTTAAGAGCTCTTAGGAATTGGGAAATGTGAGGGAAGTTGTTAGAACGATGAAGATGGAAAGGATTGCTGAGTTCTAGAGGCATTGATGATTTGGAGAGCAAGTATCTGAGAGTAGCCATTGTTGAGTAACTGTGAAAATTTTGGAACCAAACAAAGCTTTAACCCTTAAACCCTAGCTGGGGTTTTTGGTGAATTTTTTGAGTTGAAAGTTTATTTATACCAACTTTGGAGCTGAAAAGAGAAACGGGTAGTTTGGATTATGGAAATTTTAAGTACGGAAAAGGATTAAAATTATCTTTAAATTATTCGAAATAGCTTAAACATACCCTTAAATTATATTTCGGCTCAAAAATATCATTTCCGTCAACGTATTGGGCCACACCTACCCTTATTTAACAGAAGCATCCATGTGTGTGTTAAATGTCATATGGATGCCACATGGACACGCCAAACACACTCCACTGTCACATAGATGAATTAAATCCCTAATTTCACTTTTTCCCCCTCATTTCATCCTTTCCCTTAGAAACAATTTCACTCTTTCCCCCAAATTTCAAAATCCTCTATCAATTCACTTGAAACATCGTATGCAAGAAGATGTCAGATGTCATTGGAGTGAAATTGTTTCCAAGGGAAAGAATGAGATGAGGGGGGAAGTGAAATTGTTTCTAAGGGAAAGGATGAAATGAGGGGGGGAAGAGTGAAATTAGGGATTTAATTTGTCTATGTGGCAGTGGGGTGTGTTTGGCGTGTCCATGTGGCATTTTACACACACATGGATACTTCTGTTAAATAGAAGGGTAGGTGTGGCCCAATAGTTTGATGGGAAGGGTATTTTTGAGTCGAAATATAGTTTAAGGATATATTTAAGCTATTTCGAATAGTTTAAGGGTAGTTTTGACTCTTTTCCGTTTTAAGTATTCCCACTCCTCACCATAGTTGTTGTGCTTTTTATTTACATGTCTTTTAAGAAAAATATTTTACATTTGAAGATATAATCTCTTTTCATTGAATATTTAATCTATTTCATGAATAACATGACTTTTTCCAATCTATCAATTAAGTAGGCGATCAAGGGAATAACATAGCTACGAGTGAATGTGTTCTGTTCAAACCCATGTAACTATCATGAAAAAAAATGAGTATTTAGGGGGTGAAGGAATTTTTTTTTTTTAAAAAAGTAAGTTATTTCTTATTTATAACCTAGTATTTTAACGAACATTATATGGAATGAGATAGGGTAGGGGGTGTGGATGATGAGGGGCTATGGGGAGTGGGGTGAGGGGTGGATGTGTTGGAGAGCGGCTAGAGGCAATTAATGTGAAATGTGGAATTTGTTTTTCCTACTAAATCCCAACCTCAAATTCTATTCAAGTCCATATCATTCCAATACTGAATTAAACATTCAAAAGATACATCAGAAATTAAATTATTTCTACACTAACCACTATGCTATCACAACTCTCTTTCCTTTATCCAAATTTAAAAATGATTAAGACTATGCAAAAGGAACATAAACAAAGTTAACTGTAAAGTAATTAAAGTACTTGAAGAAATATACTAGTAAAAGGCAACTCAATCTTACTACAACAGGACTATTAGATAGGTTTCATATTGGAAGAACAAAAGACTGAGCAATCATCTTGCTAATTTTTTGTAAGTTAAAGGATACTTACAGAGGAGACATTAACCTACTTAAGTATGTCAATATACAGTTCTCAAAATGTCAGCAGTTAGAACGAAAAAACTAAGCAAACTGTAATATCTATAGAAAGCTTCTCCTACTTAAAAAGTCATAAAGGGTAATAAATACACCATATATATGAACACCTCTTGCTTAAGATCATACATTTCCAAGTGCCCCTATTAACTTGATGAATATGTCTTTCACAGGGACACATGTATCTTTTACAGTATTCTTGATTCTGGAATCAGCAAGGTAGAGTGATCTTGGTTTATTCTTTGACATGTTTGGCTTCTTCGATAACTTCCCACGAGACTTAGTATTAAAGGGACTATTTTTCCTAGCTTGGGAACTTAAATCTCCAAGTTTCTTGCTGCTGTGCTGAAGGTTCTCATACTTAGTTGCAGAAGAGGTAGAACTTGTGTAACAGACGGGAGTTCTCTTTGAAGTTCTCCAAACAAGTTGAGGCATTCTGCATTTGTTTTGCAGTTGATCAGAGCTCTCCTTTTCAACAGGAAGCATTGAGCTATCATACAATACTTCTATGTTGATGGGGTGCCCGACGATTGCCTTTCCATTTAATCTACTCATTAAGGAAACAAGGGGAGTATGCTCTCCTCTATAAGTGCTTTGAACTGTCATATGCACATCTATTAATGTCTTGGTACTATTCTTCTGCGTGGTGAACTTTGAACTAAGGCTTTGGATGCTGGTGTCCTCTGTGAAACTGTTTCCTGGACTAAGCTGAGACTTCTGATTGACATCCCTTGACATGATTTCAAATGATTCAGTCTTAGATCCAAATTCAGTACTTCTTTCATTAGTTGAAACAACTGATCTGCTCTTAAAATGTTGATTATGCACTTTCCCATTGTGCTTCCATTTGTTGACTGCTGGACGACTGATGACTTTGAAGTTCATCTTCGTTGGTTGCAATGCATTGTTACCTGAATTTTCAGAACAGATCAAAACAGCACAGCAAACAGTATCCAATCAATTGCTTGGTCCTGAAACTACTCTAGACATTTGCAGTGCTCTTTCTATTAAGCAGCATCATTCTGAGGGAAAGAAAAGGAAAAAATTTCCATCTTTCATCAAGTGATTTACTCCTATGATTGGTAAACTTAAATCATATGATGTAAGGTATATTCTTTGATGTAAATTTTCTAAAGTTGAAGTCACTGGCAATGCCGTTTCTATGACATTACAGTAGCACACTGATGTAATAACTCGAAGAAACTGAAAGCAATGAAGAAAAGTGTGCTACAGTGCTAGTGCTTTAGGTATCATTGCTCATAAATATAAGGCGGAGATCATTATGTAACATCTGCTCAAATATGAGAAAGGCAACACTTGAAAAAACAACCAGTTCGAATTATGCTAATTAAGGAAAGATGAGGATTTAATTCGCAAACACACGACTTTCTCAAAGAAGATGGAATCGAAAGGAGATGTACATGTATCAAAACAATTAACAAAAGGATTAAAAAAAGAAGCAGAGGATAAACATTAACCTGCAGTTGTCTCTCTCTTTTTATGGGAGCTCTGTGATTCACTCTTCAAGGAACTCATCGACTTGGAAGAAGAAATTTCTGTAGCATGAATAGAGGTGGCAACCATATTTGATGATTGAGAATGAACTGATTTCTCCAAGAAAGATATCGAGTCGATAGGGGAGTAAAAACATCTGCTTCTCTTTGCTCTTTGATTACTTTCTCCATGAGTCTCACCCTCTTTGAATCCAGAAAAAAATACTGTAATGTACAAACAAAATTTACGAACAGATTCCTTAGTTGATTTTATTTAAGAAGCTTTCAAGATTACAATGATGAGACACTTTTTTCCTTAATGTGGAATCATGAACATTATATTTAGCAGTCATCTTGATTGAGGTCAAATTCCCTCCTAATCACTTTTCTATGAGCTAAAACATCATTTTATGCTCGAATAAGCATCGATATCCTCATCAATTTTCAGTCTAATACAACAAAGATGCAACAGCTAATCTGAGTCTAACAGCTAAAATACCTGGCCTTTCCAGTTTCTCTTGGTCTTGCTTCTCAAGTTCAAGAGCATGAAGAATTGCATCTTCTCTATGTGCATATTTCAGGCTTTTAGTATAGGTAAAATTCTTGGATGATTCAGCTTTTTTGATACAACCATCGAACTCACCACATCGAAATGCCTTTACGCGGCTAGACTTCTCCAAATTGTACCAATACCTGATAATTTCGTTATACAATTGCACACAAACATGATTTCACATCGTCATTTACTGATCTTAAGAACCACAAAAGCTATCAAGAAACACACTAAAGGAACAAGGCAGCAACATATATGACACAGTTTTATCCTGCTTCACTGTTTCCTCTGTGATCAAGAAGCTCTCTAGAGGTACACAGGTTAAACTTACCAACAGCATCAAGAGAAAAAAACACAAATGAAACTGAGAAAAACAAACTATAGTGCTCAACCTAAGCTGTGAAACCAGCAAAAGAGACAGCTCCTATGGTAATGACAGAAAGGGTCTTAAGTCAAAAGTTTGATTTTAAAACATATTTAACTTCTTTTCTCACATGCAAAACAAAATAAACAATAACCAACCTTCATTTCTATGAGTATAACAACATTCAACAAAATTCTGCTATATTTTGTTCTTACTACTTGGCAGCAAAAGACGGTAGAAAAAAACCCATCTTTTCTTGTTCTTACCAAAAAAAATCCACCAAATCTTAACTCCCTACCAAGAAAAAACAAAAGGGGTCCTCAAGAATCCCATGTTCTAACTCCTAACAACACAAAAACCACAAAATAAGCATAAAAAAAGAAGAGCTAAGAAGCATACACAGAAGCATCATCTCTCCCAAGAAGCTTAATTGGAAATCTTGAACTGAAATCAGTACGAGAAAGAATCCCAGAAGTTGGGATTTCATTGCTACACAATATTCTCCCAGGCCACCATGTTCCATTTTGTCTCAGCACCCAAACTACACTACCTCCTCTTCTTTCTATAACAGGTCCTCCCATTTTTTTCTTACTGAAAACAAAGAAAATCTTCAGATTCAGCTCCTTAGAGAAGAAATTTAAAAAGGGGTTTTAGCAAAGTTTAGTACTTTCATCATTATCATCATCCAGCACACGCTAAAACTATAAAAAAAAAGTTGCAGAGCCAAGAATAAAGCATCCAATGGCACTCTGCTACCTGTTCTTTTTTTTTTTTCTCTTTTTGAATGTACGATTAGCGTACGTTGGCTCTCTTTTTTGTTTGTCTTTTTGTTAGGATTTAGGAGCATGGAGGGAAGCTGTTTGTGTGATTATTATCATAGTGTCCAAAATTAAGTTCAAAATATTTGTGCTCCTAATTATCTACCCTATGGGTCAAGTTGAAGATACTTCTATTATAAAAGTAATTTTTTCTAGAGAAAATGTTTTTCATATCTTTTGACCAATCGAACATGAAAAAAATTAGAAAATATTTGTTGGAAATTATTTTTCTCCTACTTAACATACCCTTAGTCTTTTTCAAAATAGATGTCACATTTTTTAATTTGGAAACAAATTACTACTATACAATTTTCATTTACCTTACCTGAGAAAGCTTTTGTAATCACATAAAAATTATGACATGTTTGAGGTTACAAGTTTGGTATGTTTTAGTTGCAGAACCTACAAGTTTCAAAATTATTTCTTTTTTCCCACTTTATGTGTTGTAATTACTCTTTGGAGAGCCAAAGATGTTTTTCATTGATCAAAACTTTTTTATGTCTTGTAATTGTGACTTGAAGTATTTTATTATGTAAAATTATGTGATCTCAATTTAAAAAAATTAGAAAATTCTATGTTCAAATTCTCACAGAAAATTAGATAATTTAACACTAATAAAATAATACATTATTTATATAACTCACAAAACTATGTTCATTATATACATTATAATAATTGTTTTTTTTTCTGGTCACTTTGACATGATTATGGTAAAAAAAGTTTACATGTTGAAGTTAACTCCTCTATAATAAGTGTAAATAGAAGAAACTTTTTCGGTTGGTGAATTGGTGATCACACTAACAAATGAAAAAATTGGATCATTTAAATTGAATTTTATATTAACAAAATTATTTCTGGTGCCATTTGCTTCTACATCTGCAATTATGGGTTTACATTTCTCATTAATAAATGATTTCAAAGGGGATGAGAATGTGGATTAATTAACTATGTCCAACGACAACAGCATGTTTGAAGACATCATGTATTCATCGACTTGACTTGATATAAACATCAAATACAGGTAAGAAAACAGAAAGACACTGCAGATGCATAAAAACAAGTTATCAAATGATTCAGAACTTAGCAGAAGAAAACAAGATGGAAGAAATCAATGAAACATTTGAGAAACAGAATTTTTTTTTAAAAATGGCTTGGCTACAAATGCTGCTGATCAAAGATGTACAATGACTTCTATCCAAAAGAATAGTCAAAATAGATAGAAAAGAATAAGCTATTTTTAGAACTTTACAATATTAGGATCTAAAAAGAACAGTGTGAGCACCATAATCTTTCTATCATGTTGAATGTATCATCACCTTGAAGGTGTTTCTGATGGCTGACTATTCAATGCAGAACTTGAGGGAATAGAAGGCATAGCTCCATTATCTTGAGACGATGAACCACCCCACTTGGGCTCTGCATCTGATGGCTCGATCACATGCACTGTGCCATCACTCATACCAAGAGCGAATTGATGGGAATCAGATGGATGTGCTGCTATCACTACAGGAAATGCAGCGCCGCTGCTTAAACAAGTGAAATTCAGATTAGTTGGCAACAGTTACGAAACGTTAACTCTGAATTCAGATAGCGTAATGAGCATGTCATTATTTCATGTCACTATGTAGAGAGGCTCGTGCCCCTCTTCACCAAATATAAGCAGAAATCCAAGTGCCAACTTTGTGCAACGTATTGTGTATTCAGTCAAGAACTTTCTTGCAAGTTTATTTCCCTCAAAATTGTCCTCCAGATAATGCAAAGTTTTACGGGGAAAATGATCATTTTTTCTTTTAGAATTTCATTTTCCTTTTGAACAAACACATGTATGCAAGAAAATCACTTTCCTTAACACTCACATACCACTCTAGAGTAATATATTTTCCAGCAGCTAAGTTGGTGTCCAAACAAAGGCAAGTTTCCAAGAGATCACTTAAGATCTGGCATCAGCATATAGCATCATAAAGTATAGTACTTTGTTTGCTTGGAATAGTTCAGGTACTATTCAGGGTCTGTTTTACACGTTTGATTAATCTTGCTATAGGAAACTATCCAAGGACTATAGTTATCTGTTGATCTCTTTGCTCCTCTATTGAACTTTTGTGTTCTTCAGATATTCTGTTTTCAGGGAGGGAATGGTTAAGATTGGACCTAGGCTTGGCAAAAGTCAAACTCAGGATCTCCGAGCTGGGTTACAGTTAGAATGGGTGACCTAGCGGCCTTTTAAATTTGTCCTTCCATTTACGCAAATTCATTTCAATCCACTAATGGAAGCCTGCAGTACTACTGTGGAAGAGGAGAGAGGTATAGTCACCACAGCCCATGAACTCTCTAGGACATGGCAACACATCAAGCTTCATTTTGAAGCATTTTGAGCAAATCAAAGCCCACTAGACAGACACTCCAACTCCCATATTTGGCACAATTGCACAAAACATGTGCAATACATCATTTATATGCATCAAAACAATGAATCTATCCAAGGAAAGCATGACTACCTGCCAATTGAAGATAAGTAAGCTGAGGGTGCAATTCTACATCGAAGTCTGAGACTGTCTGCATCAAATATTCCGATTGCACCATCACAGAATCCAGTAAAGATCAGCAGACCATCACATGAGTATATAGCACTTGAAATGGGAGCAGAAAGTGAATCTCTTGGATACCACTGCAACATATTAATGCTTAAATCATTTAATATTTGGACTGGGAAAAGTAAGGAATTAAAGAGTCGAACTTTGGAGCCATGATAATGAATGTAGCGTGTTCATAATAAAATATGCAACATGAAAGTTCTCTATTGTTGGGCCATGCCAAGCAATATATATGCAGCTACACTACCAAAGTATGCAAATCAAGTAAGGAAAGTAGAAACTAGGAAGAGCAAAGAATGTCAACACGGTAAAAGAATTAACTAATTTTTATAATGGGAACACAAAGAACAGAGACAATTGCATTGGTTCCCAGCAATTCTGGTTTAGCATTGCCATAATGTTGCTTGGACTCTTCAAAAATGTCAATAGGTGCGTGTCGGATTCGCCAAAAGTAGTGTATTTATGGAGAATCTGACAGGGGTGTGGCATCAAAGTGAAGTATCTGTGCAACTAAGCATAATAGATCCTAAGTACTTAATGATTATTTTCTATCGTATCTTGAAATACAGCATACCTTTGTAACACAGGAAACTTACCCCAAACAAACAAGAAACGTGCAATCAGTACAATCACAATTGAAGAGATGAGAATGTTATATACTGATAAGTGGAGTAAACCTAAATCACCTGCTTTCTGTGCAATCGATACAAATTCTATGTGCGCATCTAACAATAAACTAGTGTGAAGACTTACTGAACGTTGACATTCAAGCTGGGTATCATAGATTCCAATTTGGCTTTCATGAACTACTAGTATATGAGATTGGTCATTATGGAATTGGACTCTAGTTTCTCCAACTAAGGGAGCTTGGTGACCTGGCGGCACTTGTATAGGCCTTGCTTTTTTCTTTTCCCAGCCATCAACACTCCAGATACATAGCTGCATCACAGAACAAGCACCAAATATTCTGTTATTAGCATGTCATTAAAATTATACAACATTACTACTACAGCATCGACATGGCTAAATTGCGAAGGAAGCACAATTTCCCTCCGTATAAAGATGACAACTAAGATTCATGCATAAATGCAATCCACAAAATCCACAGGTACCAACAGTGCTGTCCCTTGAAAAAGGAAATAAATACAAGAGACGCAAAATTCAAAGAGGAGAAAAAACATCAACTTGCCTGTGCATCTGCACCTGAAGATACCAGTACATTCAAGCTCTGTGAAAATGCAAGGCCTGTGATTCGTTTCTGGTGACCCTTGAGCTTGATTTTGACCTATGACAGTGAAATCATAAAGAAGAAAACAGAAAAGATCCATCACCACAAAATTCTAAAGGACAGGCGGGAATAAGGAAAATAAAAAACAAAACTGATAAGCATAAGGCTTGGAAGAAATGTATTTAAATAAGCCTCTTGCGCTTGATATCGATGGTTCTATATATTCCTGACCTTAAAAGTATGTTTACTTTGAGGCAAGGAGTAAAAGCATGGTTGGTTACTGTGAAATGTTATGATTAACATCCATTTGTCTAAGAATAAAGGATAAGTAAAGGTTTTATATTTTCACGCTTCCGTCCAGTTTTAATTAATTGATAATGCTAGACAAGCATGCATGATCATATTCCCAACACACATGGCTAATGAGCAATGTAAACGAACAGGAGGATAAAGAGGAGAACATAGAAGCTACAAAATTAAGTTTCAGTACCAGAATAAACAGTGACAATCCAAATAAGCAATAGTGCAATACTGTTCCTTCGGAATGTCATGTACAATCTAGGACCAACACATAAAATAGGAAAAAGTACCTCATCAACCCTAACATTATATATCTGGATAGTGGAGTCCTCCATTCCTACAGCGATAACATTGTTATCTTGAGGATGAAATGCCAAATAGGTGGCTGCAGGGGGTGGTGGCATGAAAGTTGTCATCACCTAACCAGAGTTCATGTGTCAGTTTAGATGCACCAATTTATCATTGTCAAAGAAGGGACAAGTCAACTTTGTACATAATGATAAAAATGTTGACAAACTTCAAGATTAAGAACTAGACGAGATCATTGTCCACTCCTTTTTCCCGGAGAGGGTCAACAAACCTTGAAGGTCATCATGTTAAACAAGGAGACCTTCCCACCAGAAGCAGACATGACATAAGAATCATTTTTAGATAAAGCAATACATGCAGCTGCATCTTCAGCTGATTTCGCATCACCGACATCATTAGACATGAGTGCTCCATTTGTCGGTTGCCACAGTTGTGGAACAACTGCAGCGGAGGACTGAAAGAAAGAATTAAGTAAAGCAAACCAGTCAGAATTTTCTGACAAGAAAAACTAGTGAGAATTTGATGTGAGCCATATCGATACTCCAACTTAACCTTTCCAGATGGATTTCGCTCATTTCTCTGCCATTTCCAGAGCTTATGAATGGCATTAGAGCCCAGTGCCAGCACAGAAAGACCAGAATTAGTATAGAGCAGCCGCAGTACCTGCCATCATTACAATTCAGATGTCTTTAGGTTGCTGACAAAGACTATCAATCGAAGAAGCATTTTGTGCCTCAATGATACTAATAGCAACAATTCATATCCAACAAAGAAAGACACAAACATGCAGAAGGGGATTCTACACTAGTCTCCAGGAATAATTAAGAGTTGTTAAAGATCTAATCAAGCAAATAAAGAGTTTCCAAGGTTTCCTGTCACCCTTCATCAAAAACAGAGTTTCCGCATACTTGGCCACAAAAAAGAATCAAAGCCCCACATGAGAGAGTGGATTCGAGATATAATCAAGCAAATAGAATCGTCTTTTCTAAACCTTTTATATGATGTAGTCACACAATTCAATTCAACAAGGATTATAACAAAAGATGCCACCAACTTTAGTCTTCAAAAGAGAACCTTCCACAAGCAAGTGAATCTAAAAATGTAGATGAAGTTTTATAACAACCTTGCTGGCTGACAGAGGGTCTGGCAACTTTAGCGTTTTAAGTTGAGATGAGTCAGCAATGTCGGAGAATTTCCAGCTTTTAATCTTGTCCATATTTTCTGCAATTCTAGGTTTTACATCGGGAACTCTGCTGCTTTCCATGGCGGCCTATTGATATGACAAGCATGATAATTCAAATATAATAGTATCATACTTCAAACGACAAGATCAAGAAGCACCATGCATTTCCCTGTCAAAGGTAATAAAGAGGGGGAGGGGGAGATCATGGCAGATAATTACCAGATTGCCAATAGACATTGATTGCTGAGTTCTATCACTACGTTCAATGATTTGAGGTGCCGACCCAGATATATTAGGAATTGGACCTAAGGAACCAGCAATTGGTGGCTGCAAAGTGCATCAAGATTAAAGACAGCCATTATACTGGTAGTATGAATATGACAATTTACAAGTTAAGGGCCCTTTTTTTTCTTTTTTTTAATGACGAGGGAACCTGCAGCCGCTACCCATTGGGTGCGCACTGGGTAAAACCCCCGCTTCTATGCAATAGCTCGCAAACCACACAAGAGAGGTAACCCGCACTAGGCAATCCCGGTGCAACGAGCTCGACCTAGAAGGCAAACCCCTTGCTTTTGCTAGCAAGGGGTTTCGAACTTGAGACCCTCCAACATGGAAGTCCCAAGCCCAAACCACTGGGCAACCCCGAAGGGTATTCGTTAAGGGCCTTGTATAGCAATGAAACCATAACTCACCAAATGAGGATCAATATTACCTTAACATTGACATCAGAAAGCGCACGAGAACCCTCAAATGCCCTGCTCTCCAGCATCCTCAGCATTCGCTGTCCATCAGTGTTTGCCAGAACCTTGATTCCGTTATCACTCGTCGTGACAGCCAGCAATGAGCCTTCCTTATTGAATCTTAGTCTAGGACTGGCCTGAAAAGAAAAAATGGCGTTCAAGAATTCTCAGTTTCAATAATGTCAATCAAACAAATGAATTCAAGTAACAGCAATACTAACAGGCAATCCACCATCGCCATCAGTAGCTGTAAGCATGTTGGTATTATCCATTTCCCAAAACTTTATCTGGAACTCATCACCCGCAGCTAAGAAACGATTTCTCGTTGTGTCAAACTGCACAACACCTAATGAACGCTTTCTAAAGCCAGAGAATGTCCTCTTGATTGCTCCTTCACTCTCATTCCACTCTACGAGGTGGGATTCACCTTCTTTACTTGTCCCACAAGAGAAAAGTCTGAAAGAAGGTGGAAAAGTTAAGAGTGACTATAAAATATCAAACGCAAACAAGTTTCTCTTGTTTCAGAGATCTTTCTCAAAAAAGTGTCTCATTTCAGACATTTATCATAAAATCATGAAGGCCTCTTTACAATTCATTTTTCTAACTTCAATAAGCATCATTCACTCATTCACTGTTGCAGTCATATCTTCTACCATGACACCTTTGAGTATAAAACTCACCCTAATGAGTCCTCCAATGGCTTCATGTTTTGCCTTGGGGGTGCCCATAACTTTAGCCCTGCTTCATTTTTTGCGCAGTGGAATGTTTGATAAGAGTACTGAAGAAGGGACTTCTTAAAATTCTTAGGAATTTGAAAAAACCTCTGGAAAATCTACTACACGGAGCACTCTACCAGGAGTATGTATGAATTCAGAAAATAATATGATATTGAAGTGTGTGACCATCTCATTCAAAAGCTTAAATTATTAGAGAAAGCACACTTAATTTATTGAATAATGTCTTTCAACGCACCATCTTAAGTGCGGCTTATTCTTTTTCACGAGTCAAGCACGTGGAGATTCTCTTTGATAATGAGTGGCATGAGATCTCTACTACCATGTTGAAGTGTGTGACCATATCCACCAACTTAAGCTAGAGAGATACTTTTATATATTTAATCATGTCTTTCAATAAAGAAACCAAAATTATAGATAAAAGGAGGAAAACCAATGAAATCACAAACAGCAAAGGAATCAAAGATGATTGAGTTCAATACGAATTATGGCAGGTAAAGGCAATTTTTTGTTAACATCTGCCAAAAGAAGCTATGTTTTATTAGTTGGAGTGCACGCAGACGGCAGACTTAACAGCTCTAAAAAAAAATGGACAAGTGTTGAACTATTGACTCAAACATAGAGAGCTGACATTTACTGTTTGCAAAAGACTAAGATAGACTGCTGGGACATATCCTCAGTTCAAAAAATCTGGGCAAGATGGTTAGATTATGCCGACTTTTTGGACACAAAATGAATTGAACTTGACCAACAAGGCAGGTCACAGCCAGTAGTAAGGTCTGGATAAACAATACTATATATGGCTTAGCTGGATCGAAGGACTTTCAGCCGGCACTGATAGCAACAAGTCTCTACATATTTTTCTCATGCTTTATGCTGATGACTCATATTTTCTGATGTTTTTCTTGATGAAGTCAACCTAGAGTAGGCATTAGGCAATTAAGCATCTAAGCATTGTACTATTGGTTTATTTGAGGAAAATTCTAGGTAGACTATAAATCTCACATGAGCTATCTTTATCCCCATAAATGACGAACAGAACAGTTTTTTTGTAAAGGTGGTGTCCAGGCCAGCTTGTGCACACCTCGACTATTCAACGGGTACCTATTACCTCCCACCAAGTCTAAGTAGGTAGGGAGAAATCACCTAATGTTTTTTGTCTATGCCAGGTGCAAAACATTCATTAGTTAGCAGCAATTAAAGGTTGCGCAGTTGGTTCCTTCCCTACCACTTATCATGGCATCCCCTTTGGCTAAACACAAGGATGGGATTATATGGCAGGGGGGACTTGATAGGGTGGAAAAATATTTTCAAGGCGAACGAGACAATATCACTCATTTTGGGGAAGAATTGTCCACATTGGGTTCTAGATAGCAACCAACATATGTCATGTCTCTTTGCCCATTACTTGTTGAATTTAAGAGGAGACGTAAAAAGTTTAGAAGGAACAGGGACAAAGATACATTTCCATTAAACAAGAGAGTCCAGCAATACTACCAAAGAAAGTGGGAGGTTTTGGTATACAAATGTCAAAAACAGGATAATAAGATCCTTTTATTTACGTGACACCAGATATTTGGTGGAGTCTAAAAATATCACACTGCTGATTATTGGAATTCTTAAACCTTGGTGCTGTGGTTTGGAAGAGTATTAGGAACCTATGGAAGGATGTTCTTAAACTTCCAATTCTCAGCACGAAAAGTAGATGAAATTGAGATTTTGGCATGATGCTTGGGTTGGTCATACCTTGCTAAACTGTTCAGTTTTGCTCTAGTACTGAAGGGAAAGTGGCCAATTCAGTCTCAATCTGGATGAAACCTATCTTTCAGTGGGAACTTTGAAAATTGAGATATACACAGATCAGCCCAATTGTTAAAATAGCTAGCAGCTCTGCATATCAAATGGGAAATGAAAGACTAGATAAGATGGAATCACCTGGAGGATGGAAAATATTATTGTAAACTGGTTGTAAATTGTTGTCCTCCTCTATTTAACAACCTATATAATGACCTTATAAGTTGGAAATCTATCTAGGATAGTAGATCACCTTCTACAGTTGTTGGTCTTGGTCGATTGGGTCTCATAAAATCCCAATTGACACAAGTTAATCAACAGAAAAGAGGCACCAGCATATTCTAAGGTGATTTATGTGTGAAACGGAATGGGAAGACTTAAACCATCAATTAATTCAGCATCAAATTTCTGGACGATCCAGAGTATGTAACTCAACTCAAGGAGTTCATTGAGTTGGACTAGACGCAAGCTGAGCACACAAGACGGGAGGATATTGTTCACTACTCCAGCAAGTATTTTTTGGGTGACTGGCTAAAAAGAATCATAGGTGCTCCAATGGCAGGAGAAACCTGTCCATAGACCTTTTTTATAAGATGGGGTAGAAAACTTGTCCAGACTAGTTAATATTTTTGTGCTTTTGGGTTTTTGGAATGACATGCTGAATGCATATGATATACACAATCCGCTTGAAAGAAAGTGCAGAAAGATAACACAAAAAAACAAGAATAGAATGCGTTGTCTGAAATTTGAAGATAAAGAAGCTAGTAGATTTAGAATCATTATACTACTTTAGCTTGATATAAGGATGGAGAAAAAATGTAGAACCAAATTTGCATCACAAGGATAAGATCTTATTGAAGAAAGAAAAGTAAGATTACACGCATTGCATAAAAATAGTCAACGCTTCCTTGTTTGAAACAAATAAGGTCACTTACTAAACAAAGATCGAATTGTATGGACTTTTGGACCAACCTGGTTCCATCAGCACTATATGCCATTGTTGTGCACCAAAGACCAGGAGCATCATAATCTACTCTTGATCCCATGCCATCATACAGCCAAGCTTTAATTTTACCATCAATGGCCGTAGAGAAAATAAACTGCAAAATACAAATTCAGAAAATATTCTTCTTTTTCAAACACAAAATAATAAAATTAGAAGATGGTTTTCTTGCCCCTCAAAGAAGCCCCGTGAAAAAAGTTCAGCAGCCCAAGAGTCGATATTGTGAGAAAAGTAACCACAGAATGCAATTGGTTTACCTGGATACTCTCTTTGTAGTGAGGGCAGACAGAATATACAGGAGCTTCATGCCCCTCAAACATATGTTGCCTACGACCACTTACTGCATCCCAGACCTGTTACAAGAAAGCAAATAATGAAGAAAATAAATCCTACCATACGCCCATACCAACAGCTTTCTTCTGTTTTTTAACTAAAGGAAAGCATTACACCAATATTATGTTATCATGTCAAAGAGATTACCTTGATTGTCTTGTCATCCCCACACGTCACTATGCAGAGTTGCTTATTAGGGTGGGAAAATGCAATATCATTAACACCACCAGCATGAGCATCAATCTATAACATGAAAGAATATGAAGAGTTAATAAGTTATGTAATTATTGATATGAGGGTGTGAGATACAGAGAGAGTTTCTTTGCATGGCTTACTTCTAGATGCTGTCTCAATTCTCCCGCTGGGCTGTATGTGTAGATTTGAACAATGTGCTTCGAAAAGGCAACACCTACAAAAAGCAAAATGACAAAATCATGGGTACAATTGAGTTCCTAAAGCTGCAAAAACTTATCACAGAAAATAAAAAGTGAACCAATAAAAGACCATCTTACCAAGTATAGAACCATCTGGACCCCACACGCATCGATTGACTGATATAGTGGCATCTTTGACCAAAGCTGACTGAATGATAAGCAACCAAAGCATGTTAATTAGGGAGGCAAAAGTGAATCTTACAGGTTACAACCCAAAGAAGAAAAGGGAGAAATTAGAAATATGCTAAATTGAGGAAATATGTCTTACTCCCACCGTTCACTTTTACTTGTCACTTATTCCTAAAATAGATATTCATTTTTACTTGCCACTTTTGACATAACAAGAAAAGGCAATTCTTTTTTTTCCATGTTTTACCCTCAACATTAAATACTTGTTCTTCAAATCATTTTTCAAGACTTAATACAAAACATCATTTAATAGGGATATGTACCAATAATTGTTTTCTCAATGGTTGTGCCAAAACAGTGACAAGTAAAAAATGAACGGAGGGAGTAATATAGACACACTCTTTCCAATCCTGAATATAGTGAAACCTATTAACAAACTGAAAAAAATAAGAAAAAAGAGTTTTTGGAGCTTGTTTATTGGGGTTGGGGTGTATTCTGATTTGTGCTAAAAAGATGTTAATATGTGAACTGTGAAGTAAGGTGGTTCACACTTCACTGAACGATAGTATGCCAAGATCAAATAATATGCAGTACAATACTGAATTGTTTGGCATCTCATTATGGGACAAGATTCACACTTAAGTGCCCATTTGGCCATGACTATTTTCCACTTTTTTTCCAGAAAACTGTTTGGACATAGAATAGTTACAATTTTTCTGAATTCGAAAATCTCCCAAATGTTGTTTTCACAATTTTCACTCCAAATCACTCACATAAATTCAAAAACAATTCCGATTAGTATTCATGTTGAAACAACTCCAATTTCCAACTTCCAAATTCCATTTTCAACTTATTCCAAATTTCACAATTTTTATGTCCAAACGTCCACTTAATGATGGACTGGAAACAAAAGTTGTTTCACTAATTGGGGGGATCAAAGAAGCAATATTAGAATTCAAAAACCGGAAGAAATTCTCACCTGGAATGGCATTGAGCATGCAGATATATCCCAAACCTTGAAGGACTTGTGCGCTAACCGTTCTCGAGATCCAACTTCCCAAATGCTAATGTCACCAACATTGGTACCCACTACATGGTGATACAAGGAAAAGGTGGAAATTAGGACCAACAGAAATTCAAAACCACACAATGCCCCCTTCCCGTCCATGGGTCTATCTTACAAAATACTCAAATGATATATCTCAATTTTGAATAGGAATATGCACATAAACACCCAATCATAATTAACTAACTATAGAGGGGCCAATCAGAATCAACCTAGAAGAACAGTCTGTTGTTGTGGATGGAAATCCATGCTCATAACGTTAGATCCTTGGCTAAGATTCCGCACAACAGTTTTGGGAAGGTCATCCGGTGAATACATATTGGGAGGATGAGTTGAACCAGAAAAGGATACCTGGAGAATTAAAAAAAAAATGTGTTTGCTTGTCTTGTTAATCAATTCGGTTAAGTAATCTCGCAAACTTGCTATTTCCATCTTACTTCAATCTCACCTCATCAGATTGACCAGCACGCATTCGTTTCATCAAATGCTCTGATTCGGCCATTTGAAAGTCCATTCCAGGACCGCCTGGGTTAGCTCTTGGATGTTTTAGAAAGCCAGCTGATGACATTACAGTAGACAACTTTAGTTCAAGAAAAATGCTAACTTTCTGGAAATGCAACCACAATTTCCTCCAAACCAATAATAATATAACAGACCAGCGCCAGGAGCCTGCACGAGTCCAGGGGGACCAGGAGCAACAGCAGTGTGAGACATAGAAGGGTTTGCACTTGACATCCACCCTGCGATGGCACTTGGTGAAGGTGAAACAACTGGTTGGAATGGCTGTAATAAGAAAACTAAAATAACTGAGATACCACATGGAACATAGCAAATGGTTTAGCAGATAAGTAAGAGGTATCGTTCTTAAGGGAAAAAAATGTTTAATGAACTCTACTCACACTGTGTGCTCCAAGTGGAGGAAATGCCCCAGGCTTTGGAACTGGTCCAGCAAGAGGCGTATTTACAGGAGGAGGAGGCCGAGTTCCATTGCTAGAAGCACAAGTATGATCAGTAAAAAGTGTTTTAATATCAGGATTTGGACGTGGATTCTTGCATAGCTGATGCTGCCAGTTAAGACTGAAATCCAAATGACACAAAACTTAACAATGTAGTCTCAACAAGAAAATCAGATTATCACAGAAGGGGGTTGATCTCATCATTAAAAATATCAACAGCTAACAGCAATAAATATTATCATTAGTAGTAGCGGAATAATAGGCCCCCCAGGCATTGCTTCGCTAGGAATTGAAACAAACTTGATCGGCACTTCTAATTGAGGTAATCTTTAAATGGTTGATGGTAGATAATATCATGCCGAATCTCTTTTGCATATTATGGAAGTATAAGACGCATCAAACATCCCCAGATAGATAACCTCAGTGGATTAAATACAAGATATGAAGCACGCTTTAGCATAGAACCTTTGATTAATCAATGTCCGCAGTCGTGAAGCTTTGAAAGAGGGAAAAGCTAACTTGTCACGGAACAGAGGGTTTGCCTCGATAAGCTTTTTTAGTTCTACCAGCATAATATTTCTTGCCGACTTTGTATCCCCATATTTGGAGAGCTGCTCGTTCTGCCTAGGGATACAACAAAAGATTTTCATTTAATCATCACAAAAGGAAAGAGAGTACACATCACACTTCAAGCCAAAATTTAATACCTAAAATTGTCAAGAGTCAATAACTGGGTGATCTCCTTGAAGAGATCTTCATTAAAAGAAGCAAAAACCTTAAGGTCCTTCACAAGAATCTCAACTGCTTTTACTCGATCATGCCTGGCAGATATATTTCAGAAACCAACCAAATAATTAGAGGTGCTGCTGAAACTTATGGAACGATTTAATGGCGAATGACATTTGAACTCACTTGTCAAGAGCTTCAAGATATTTTTGCTTTCTTATTTCAAAGAAGATCTTCATTGAATAGCGGTTGTCTTCAACCTTTGTGAACCCACTAAGGTATCGCTCAACTTCATCCCATTCACCAGCTTGCACTTGTTCCTCAAAGTATTTCATGTTGAAGAAGAAACCAGATTCTTGCTCCAACCTAAAGTTAATATTCATGCAATTTTATGGTATAATGAACATGAGAAGAGAACTAGAGAATTAACATTACACCACCTTAAGAGTTAAAGAGTCATATCATCTAATTTGCTCTCTAGACTCTAGTTGAATGATGAAATAAGAGAGAGAACAATCAAAAAACCCAAAAGGAAACAATCATAAGATTTCAGCATTATGCTGAAAATTCCTTAAACAAAGAAAATCTAAATCTGACTCAAGGTGATCAGTTTGCTACATCACTCATCGAGTCTAATCGAAATGAGATAGGAAAGGAAAAAATCAATTTAGAATACTAAATCACATTTCATTCACTAAATTATATTGGCATTTGATTTTAATGATAAAAAGCTTAATAGAGAGAAACTTACTTATGAACTGTTTCTTTGAACTTCTCCTCATCCAAAAACTGGAGGATTAAGAAAACCAGTTCCCTACTCAAGGAAGACATGGTGACAGCTCCAGGAACTCCTAGCCACTCCAGTGCAAATATTTGGATGTTAATTAGCAAAAGCAGAGAAAAAGTGACCAAATTTTCCACCAATGGAGCTCCTTTGCTCCAAGTAATCAACTACTTAATCTAGATCACTTCCCCAACAACTAAGAAAATGCTCAAACTTTTCACAATGTTCCAGAAACAATAACTGTTATTAGCTGAAAACACAATGTAACAACACCAGGGATTCCAACAAAAATCACTTCAATCCTTGCTCTTTCAACTTCCAGACCATACACATCAAACAGAAAAGCCAGTACTTCCTGCCTTCACCACCAAAATGCAATGCAAAAAAAAAGAACCTCCCAAATCAATGCATCCAATTCAAATCCCAAGAAGATGCCACCCCCAAACCCCAATCAAACCACCACAAAAACAAACCCCCAAAACTTTCTTGGAAAATGAGCTCCTCCAAATAACCCCCAAAACCTCAAATTCCTAACACAAAGTCATAAAAATCCAATCTTTAAGCTACACAAACATTAAAAAACAACCCCACTTCAGTTTTCCTTTAAAGAACTCATTTTTTCTCAAAATCCAACAATAATGAGAGCAAAAAGGGACTCTTTTCAGATCTGGGAACATAAAATATCTTAACAAGAATGCATATGTTGAAGAGTTAGAAGCTACTTTACTTGTTTATGACAACCCCCACATGATGTTTAAGCAAAAGCTAGGGTTTTTTTTTCCTTTTTTTTTGTTTCCTCTGTAGAAGAGAGGACTAAATACTGAAAGGGACTTCCTTTTTTACTCTTTTTTCTTCTGCAGACAACCACCCACTACTCCTACTTCTCTTTCTTTCCCTTCTTTGTATTCACTCTTTTTCTTTCTCTTTCTATATATATTTATAGCATGTGTTCCATTTTTTTGTGCTCATTCTTGCTTTTTATACAAGGGGTGGGTGGGTTTTTGTTGGGTTTATGACTTTTTTTTTTTCTGAAAAAACACATGAGTGATCTCAAATTCTTTGCAGATTGATAAAATGACAGTATGGTGAGTATAAGAGAATGTGACAGTATGTTGTGTTGAAGTTTTTGCTATATATTTGTCTGATTTTAATTGGTTAGTGGTTGGATATAATTGAAAAAGTTGGTAAACTAAGCATGGTTTATTTCATTCGTCTTAATTTATATGATGTAATTTGACTTGATACGTAGTTTAAGAAAAAAATAAAATTAAGCATTGTTTCTATCCCAATTTCTATATGATTGTGATTCAACTGAAACTAAGGACCTGAATGGAATGAAATTTTAGAGCTCCCGCGCGGCAATCTAAAGAACGAAGAATCGCTATTAAATGAGAACGAGTGAAGTGAGTAAGTACGGAATAAGTTAAATAAAAGTTATAGCAACAAGCTACTATGAAATGATTGTGTTGAAGTTTCAAACGTTGAGCTCGCTAGTTTTTTTTCCAAATGAATTGCTTAATTCTACTTCTTTCACTTTCTTTAGTTATTGATCACTAATCTAAATAAATAATAGTTATATATATTTGTATGGTTATAAATTATTTTAAAATTCTAAAATTGATTTAAAAAATTAATCTAAGTTGGGATTGAGTATTATTTTTTTCTCTGGACAGCTAAAGCAAACACCACAAAAAATAATAATATTGTTTTAACTTTTTCAATCAAACTGCCCTCATAATTAAGTCATGTCCTTTTGATGTGATAATTGTTTAATCCTTTCATTTTACGATGATTATACATTTATCAATAATTGAAAAATAATGTTTTATATATATTTTTCATAAATTTGTTTTAGTGAAAATCTTATTAAATTCTCCATGAAGTAATCTACTTATAGAATGATATGAAAAAAAAGAAGTGGTTGCACTTTTCAAAGTATAGAGTCAGAATTAAACCTTTAACATGTCATTTAGGGTTAGTGATTGATGAATAAGTTATATCAAAATTTATAATGGTAAATTATAATACAAAATTAAAAATGAGATATTTGTGGATAACTAGATATATTTTATTAGTAGACGTTTGATTCAATTTAAAACTTATAGAGTATAGTAAGTAGACGTTTGATTCAATTTAAAATTTATAGAGTATAGTATATATAAAATATGTGAATGATTTTACTAGATAAATTGAGATACACTTTAAATTTTATTTTTATTTCTATTTAAAGAAAATTAGAGAAGGACAATTTTATTATTATAATATTTTATTTTTTAATTTATCTGATATTTTTATAATCCTATTAAATTTGAATATGCAATTTAATATAATCACTCGTTATTTCTTAGGGATCCAATATTGCACTTTCATCTAGGGTGTGTTTGGTATGAAGGAAAACATTTTCCGGAAAATGTTTTTCCAATTTTCTCATGTTTGGTTGGGCTAAATCTTTTGGAAAATGTTTTCCAAATCAACTTATTTTCCTCAAATTTGAGGAAAATGACTTTCCTTCTAAACTTAAGGAAAACATTTTCCAAAACTCTCTTCCAACTTCAAATTACAATTATTTTTTTGTTGAAAAAATCAATTTATTTTGTCCCAACCCTCAAACCACGCCCAACCAACCCCCCCCCCCCCAAAAAAAATAATAAAAATTTAAAGCTTGTTTTTAAATTCAATTTTTTTTACCCCACCCTCACTCCTACCCCCACCCCCTCCCAAAAAAATATTAAAAATTGTTTTTAAAAGATATTTCTAATTTCAATTTTTTAATATTTTATCCCCCACCCCATCAACCCCCCTATCAGCCCCCAACCCCCTTCAAAAAGAAAAAAAATTTAAGTTTGTTTTTAAAAAATCTTTTCAACTTCAAATTTTTATTTTTTCATCCCGATCCTCAATCACTCACCCCCCTCTCCGATCACCCCCCCACCCCCAAAAAAAATTGAGTTTATATTTAAAAAATATTTACAAATTCAAAATTTCATTTTTTCATCCTACCCTTGACCCCCCCCCCCCCCCACAAAAAATTTAAGTTTGTTTTTAAAAAATATTTTTAATTTCAAAATTTCATTTTTTTCACCCCTAGAACCCCCACCCACCCACCCCCTACCAGCCCCCCACCCCCCCTCCCCAAAAGAAAAATAAAAAATTTCAAGTTTGTTTTTAAAAAATATTTTCAATTTCAAAATTTCATTTTTTCACCCCTACCTTCAACCCCCACCCACCCCCTACCAGCCCCCCCCCCCACCCCCAAAAAATAATTTTAAGTTTGTTTTTCAAAAATATTTTCAACTTCAAAATTTCAATTTTTCAGCCCTACCCTCGACCCCCCCCCCTTCACCCACCCCCTACCACCCCCCACCCCCCCACCCCCCACCCCCCAAAAAAAAATTAATTTTGTTTTTTAAAAACTATTTTCAATTTCAAAAATTATTTTCTACTCTAGTAAAAATAAAAGATATTTCTCAAAAATATTTTTCATTCATAAATCAAACACTAAAAATCTTTTCTATTCACCAACCAAACATGAGAAAATAAGTCAAAAATCAACTTGTTTTCCAGGAAAACATTTTCTAGGAAAACATTTTACATGGAAAACATTTTCCTTCATACCAAACACACCCCTAATGATTCATTATTTCTTAGGGATCCAATATTGCACTTCTATAGTTCTATAGTAAATATGAATTTAATTCCTTTCACCACTATAGTAATTTTATATTTATATTAGATATAAATTTTGTTGAAGTTAAACTAGGAAGAAAAATCAAAAGTGGAAAGTGGCAAAATTTATCTCCTTTTTGCACTTTCCTTGCCTTTTCCTTATTCCAACTTTTTCATTAAGTGGGAATCAAAGGATAAAAAATAAAAAATAAAAAGTTTTTCCTAGTGGAGTAACAAAATTAAATGGCGTCTCAACAATGCACCTGGCCCTATATTTATGTTGCTTACTCAAAAAAATTAGATTTTTTTTTTTTTTGCTTTTTACCCATGCTAGGGATTTGTATTGATCATCCATTAAATTTGAATTTGTATATTGCATGACCTAATTCTGAGGTCAACGCTTTAAACAAAAACATGTTCATTCATATATATGAGTAGATAAACTAGAATTTTCACTAAAAAAATTCAAAATATAAAAAAGTAAACACATAAACTAGTCGAAGAAAATTTCAACATCTATTATATACATATATAAACAAAAAAAAATTGTATAATAGTGTATTTCCGCAGAAGGAATGAATTTCCTAGTCCCAAGATAGCTCCATCCCTATTCACATATATTTAAATGTGAAATCTCTGATTGAGAGAGAAAATATTTCAATCATTTTACAACAATTTTTGTTATTCTCAAAATTTTATAATTAAGATTCAAGTAGAACTCTTCTAGTTTTGAGGCATTAACTTGTTTGAGATTAATCACTTATTTACATAATTAAAACAGAATAGCTGTTGCTTAGAAGAAAAATTAAAGTAATTTGTTCTTGTCCTATATCCTCCTCTTGAAGCTTTTTATTATTCTTTGAGCTTTTTCTTTTAGCAAAAGATTGTTTGAAAAGAAGAAACATAAGTACAAGATATTTCTTTTATACTAGATATAGGACCCCGTGCCAGCACGGGGCCCAATATATATTATTTTTTTATTTTAATTTATGTCATATTATGGAATTTGAGAAGTTATTAAAATTTTTATATGATTTTAAAAATATTTTAAATTTTTAGCTATTGTGATTTGTAGTACTTTTTTTTAACATAATTTTGAAAATATTATTTATTACTCTGTTTGTTCTAATTTATGTGGCACAGGCAGAATTTCAAATATTAACCATTTTTATATGTCTCTTTAATATATTAAGTTGTTAATTATTGTATTTTTTAGTACATTTTGAACCTAATGTTTTAATAATATATGTTATTTGCCATGTCCCAATTTATGTGGCATTAATTGATAGATTTGTTGGAGTCGAGAGATTTATTTTGTTAATTATTGTAATTTATTGTTTTTTTTTTTGTCAATTTCAAACAATATATGTTGTTAATTAATAGAATATTTTTAATGTAATTTAAAAAAAATATATATGTGTGACTCTCCATGTCCCAATTTATGTGGCACATGTAAAGTTTTGACAATTAACCAAAATTATAATACATTTTAAAAAATATTTTTAAGTCGTTAAATTTTAAGTAATTTAAATTGTTGTATTATTTATTACAATTTATAATACTTTTAAAGTAGTTGAAAGATTGTACTATTTATTATGATTTATAACACTTTTTTTTAATTTATGTCATATTATGGAATTTGAGAAGTTATTGAAATTTTTATATGATTTTAAAAATATTTTAAATTGTTAGCTATTGTGATTTGTAGTACTTTTTTTTAACATAATTTTGAAAATAATATTTATTACTCTATTTATTCTAATTTATGTGGCAGATGCAGAATTTCAAATATTAACCCTTTTTTATATGTCTCTTTAATATATTAAGTTGTTAATTATTGTATTTATAGTACATTTTGAACTATATGTTATTTGTCATGTCCCAATTTATGTGGCATTAATTGATAGATTTGTTGGAGTCGAGAGATTTATTTTGTTAATTATTGTAATTTATAATTTGTTTTTCATCAATTTCGTCGACTATTTTCTTATTAATTATTGTAATTTATTGTTTCTTTTTTGTCAATTTCAAACAATATTTGTTTATCATATAATCCATTTTATGTGGTACCAATAGAATTTAGAGAGTCAATTAAATTTTTTATATAAGTTTTAAATAATTAAGTTGCTAATTATTGTAATGTATAGTATTACTTATATTGTTTTTAAATATGTTTAAATATTATATGTTAGGTTTTTTATCCTAATTTATATGGCATTGATAGAATTTAAAGTGTCAAATAATTGTCAATTATTGTAAT